AAGAAAAGGCAGCTTTGTAGCAGGAATTAGAAGACCAGCACTCCGGCCCTGGTTTTGTCAAGAGAAGCGAAATGAAATCATAAGCCCATGGATTTACCCTTTGTCTTCTAAGAAATCAAGAGAGTTTCCTGTGTTGCAGCTGCACTTTTACTAACAGCAGGATGTCAGGTGGTTGGGGTCTAGATATATACTAATTCTAGATACACGCTAATTCAAAGACACTATATACTGTCATAAAATTTCTATTTACCTTTAAGTTACGCTTTTGATTTGCCCACTTCTTTGTTTCCAAGCGGTATTTTAAAGAAAGTACCACAAAAGAGAGACACTTTGGAATAAACTAATTATACTAAAGGGACCCAAACTGCCCCTTGCTTGAGCTAAGCAGCCACAGAGAACCATTATGTCACAGTTCAGGGAAAACAAACAAACAAAAATCATCGATCGTGCCTCTGATTGAGCCTCACTGAGCAATTCTCTTTCTCTCTCTAGACAAAATCTTCCTTCTGTAAACGAAGAGTTTGGCCACAAGACCTCTAAGCTGTGACGCTCTAAGATCACAGTGAGTCTGCAGTTCACCCCACAAGCACCTCCATACTTTTCACTCCTGTTCTTCTAAAACTACTCCCTAATACCCATGTTTTAAAGTGACTAGAAATTTCAGTGCTAAACACTAAGGTAGTTTAATTTCATTACTTTGTGCAGTGGCTGGCACAGATGTATATTTTTATATCTTCTGTAAAATTTGCTAAAGGCATTACCCCCAAACCCACTATAGCCAAAAACCCTGTTGCTATACCCCCCACCAAATTTCCCCTCTTACTATGAGAGTCCTCGAGCATCAAGAAGGTAATAGTGCATGTGATTTCATCTGCCATTCACTTTGAACTCCAAATACCACATACCACATTGAACTATCTTATTCTTCCAACAAAGCATTCACTTTCAATATTCCTTGACTTTCTCTTTCCTGTGATTCTCGCACCTTGACTCCCATGCCCCTTCCCACGGCACATGCTGCCAAGGGAATTCAAGCTCTGCCTGCCCTGTGCATTCCTGCCTGACACTTCCCTAGAGAAGCATAAAGAATACAGCTGATATCCCTATGTTTGATTCCCCCACAACTTCAATATCTGGTGACTCACATGATAACTTACAGTAGCAGCACATCGAAGCCCTCCTCTTGTGTCCTTTTGAATTGTTCATGTGCTTGTCACTTCTGTAAGACTAGGAATTACTCTAGAACAAGGCCATGTTGATTTTAACCTTTGTATTTCCAATGCCTAATCCACAGTGGGATCTCAGTAAATGTTAGTCAAAGGAATGAAAATGGGAAATGAAGCCATACTTCCCAAATAACAGTACAAGTAAATAAGTGAACAGAAATAAAGTCGGGAAATCTGAGAGGAGAAAATGCTCCTTTGGAAAAAGAAAATATCCCATAAAATTGATTTTCAGGAGCTCAGACATTTTTGGAAGTTGTTATGTGAAGAGAGCAACTTTGGACCTCTTACTGTGCAAACATTCCATGTATATGATCATTTTCTCCTGGACCCACAAGTCAAAGCAACCTTACAAAGGTGACTCAGAGGTGGGGCTGAGAAAGCACACAACACGTGCTCAAATGATGAGAAATCACAGACCTACTAGCCTACTTTGAGTAGTCAGTCAGGTGACTCAACAGGTTTTGCAATTTGCTTTGGATCAAAAATGGAAACATCAAAGTTGGGCATTAACAGTCTACATTTCCAAGACTTTTCAAGTACCTTTTAATTACAACACAACACAGTCTACTGCAGAATCATCTTCTCTTGGCACGCATTTTTAATATTGTAAGTGTGTGATTATTGTTCTCACAGCATATAATTATGTTAACCAATAAATACTAACGCATCTAATTCAGTTCCATCAGAGTGAAGATAATTCAGAAGAATGAGCTGTATCTCCCAATTAACTCTTGCTTTCCAAAATTAGAATCATAAAGAAGTTAGAATGGTTCGCTCTTTAATTTCTGAAGGGAGCAGGCACATGGAAAGCAGACATCAACTTGTTCTACTAAGGGTTATCATAATTAATTTTTTTATTTTTAAAAATTTTTTACAGTTTTTAAAGGCTACTTTCCATTTACTGTTATTACAAGATATTAGCTATATTCCCCACATTGTACAATATATCCTTGAGCCTATCTTATACCCAAGAGTTGTACCAACCACTCCCCAACGCCTGTAATGCCCCTCCCCCTTAATTGTTTTAACCATTTGGATGGTTTTCTTTTTATGTGAAAGCCGTATTCAAGGGACCCTGACCGGTCACATGAGTGAGAGTGTCCCTGGAGTGCAGCTTTCCTCCTAAAAAGAAAAACATTCAGAGGGACATGTTCCATCCGGTTGCAGAATTTGAAAACCAAACACAGGCCTAAGTTCAAGGTCCAGCTGTGCTCACAGTGCAGTGATACGTCACAGGGCAAGTCACTTACTTGCTAACTCTTAGCGTCTTCATGCACAAAACAAGCACATTACCTGTATCTCAGAGTTGAGGCATCTATATTGCACTCGTCTGCGTATGTGTGAAAGTGCTTCACCATCAGGAAAGCACTGTCCAAACATCGGTGAGGATGAGCCCACGTGCACAGTGAGAGATTGCACAAACAGAAATGTGGCTGCTGAATACACCCATTAAAATGCAGTGGCTTACAGGAGGCATGTGTAGACACAGCCTCAAAGAATGAAGGCCATATTGAGCAAAAACCTCTAAGCCAAATCTCCCCAGTATATACTAGGGTATGAGAATTTAGAAGTAAAAAAAAAAGAAAGAAAGAAAAGGAAAAGACTAAACAAAAACTCTATTTTAAAAATGGAAGAGGGCATATAAAAGAATTTAAGTTCAACTAGGATACGTCCAGTGGCAAAGTCAGTGGTCTTGTCCTCCTGAGAAACTGGGCTTGAGAGATTTGCTTGGATAGAACTGAAAATATGCTTAACATCAAACAATGGTTAGAAACTATAAAGCAAGCAAGGGGTGCTGGGGAACATTTCTGAGATCTGGGCCCATCCTCTCACATCTTTCCAGAGTCTGTCTTCTTACCTAAGCAACTTTTTCATAATGAATTGTAGCTTTGCCCTGCTTGGAAATCTTCAACTATCTCCCATTATCTATAAAAGACAGGCCAATATCTTAATCTGGCATTCAAACTTGTCCACAGGCTGCCAACAGGAAACCTCCCAGGCCCAAGGCCCACTTGAGGCCTTCAGTGGCCTCGTCTGCAGCCACCAGGCTGCTTGCAGGGCTCTGAATGCCTTCCTGCCCTGTGGCTCAGGCTGCTCTCTCCCCACTTGTCTCAACCAACATCGTTACTCCCCCGTCTCTCAGCTGAACATGCAAGTCTTCAAATAAACCTCAGATGCTGCCACCTTTAAAAGAATATCTCAGTCTTTTCCTTGTGATTCTATCTGCTGCTGTATAACTTATAACAACCATGTCCTATTTGACTCCCTTTCAACCATCCTCTTTCCTTCTCCTAACAGTCCCCCTACAAGACCACAGCTCCTGCTCCCTACCTGCAGTTCAGCACGTGTTTACAGAAACAAAGTGCACTTTCACTACTGACAGGTCTAGTGGAGCCAAGAGTGATGGCAGCTGTGGAAGAGCTAAGCTCTAGTGTATTTTTCCTTGTGCCCCCACAGAGCTGACAGTCCCATTACATGTCTAGAAAAGGTAATATCAATATGTCTACAGAGGAAAGCACCTTATGCAGTTCAGTGTTGAAATGACTGACAGCAGAGAGGCAGGACTGGTTCTCATTCATGAAAGGAACCACTGTGAACAGACGAGCTGCTGTTGAAGAACGGGAGTGCTGCAGGCACTGCCACTTAACCAAACGAACACCACACAGGAGTCAAACAACACCATGACAACGGTGCCAGTCCTAGGTCTGCATGCAGAGTTCTGCTGGCTGTCTTCTGAGGACTCACAAGCCCTGAAATCAACTTGCCAGTACTATCTCAAGACCTGAGAGGGGCAGGAAATGACCACTAGCAATGGAAGATCAGCTTCTGAAATGCAGATAATAAATGAAACTGCAGAAGAACAGCCAAGCTCCAAAGTAATCCAAGAGATGCAAAGAAGAACAGATAACCAGATATCATTTGCATTCTTAAAAAAAATCAGATTAATGGCTGCCACCAAATTCTCGTGAGACTGAGGAGAAATTGACATATTCAAACTGTTGGTACCAGTATAAGCTATTCACAACCCCTGGAAAGAAAAGTAAAGAAAATGGTCATGGGGCAGAGGGTATAGCTCAGTGGTAGAGTGTGTGCTTAGCATGCACAAGGTCCTGGGTTCAAAACCCAGTACCTCCGTTAAATAAATTATATAATTAATTAATTAATTAACTAACTAATTAATTAAAAATAAATTAAAAACTTAATTACTTCCTCCCCCTTCCTGCAAAAAAAAAGTGATCATAACCCCCCCATGTAGAAATTCCATTCCAAAAAAAATCTGAAGCAGGGAAATAGCTCCAAAGAAAAGCTACACAAACATGTCCCTTGTGGCATTATTTACAACAACAACCCAAAAAGGGAAGCCACCTCGATATCCAACTTAAGGAATTTCTTTACAAAAGATGTAGCCCTCACCTTAACTTCACCATAGCCATGCTAAATCCTATTTGTGAAGATTATACCAACATGTAACAAAATACCGTACCTAGGCAAAGCCAGAAAAAGAGCAGGGCAATGGAGTAAGAAGAGATTCTATGTTTGTAACATTTTTGTATAATGCTGCTGTGTTACCTTAAAGAAAATACTAGTAAGTCAGTTTAAGAAGTTTCTGTGTGTTGACTAACATACGTTGATATTAAATAAAAAGACAACTTAGACTGTTGACTCTGAGGAAACCAAGAGAAAACGGAAGGGCTACAGAAGCAGCCTGCTCTTTCAGATGGCTGCAGGCTATCTGTGGCTGGCAATGGGGACACACTTGTGGAGAGCTCTCACCTGCGGGGGCCGAGGCTTGTAGGGGGAGCTGCACTCCAGGTCAGCCAAGATACTCGTCAGTGAGTCGATCTCAGCATCCAGGCTGGAGCGTCTCTCCTCAAGGGTCTTGCCTCCAGGATTTCCCTGTTAGACGCAACACGGACATGTTAAAAAGGGAAATTTTCAGTTTCCATATCAGTCTGAGTTCAAATTTCTCAAGTCATACTGTGGCTGTGTCCAAGCTTTTCTGTAGTTCATTTTTTAAAAAATATTTTTAAATTTTATTTTATTTTTAGCTTCAAAAAAATCTCACTGATGAAGGCTGCAGTAGAACAATCGCATTTTGATAAACAAGAAAACTGAAATATATCAGGTGATTCTCCTAAAGTCATGCTCTTATTTAGAGGATATTTTCTTTGAAGAATATACAAGTTAAAGGAAATAGATGTCTCTTTTCCTGCACTCAAGGAACAGATCCAAATGGGGAGACACTGCAAATTCCATGTTCAGAAACCACCAAACAGAATGACGACATTTTAGTTGGAGCAGGAAAGGGCAAGGGTGAGAGCTTCCAGTTCAGAAAGAGGAAGCCGTGGGAGACCAGTGGACTAGGCGTGTCTGTATGACAGAGAGACGGCAAGCTCCAAGTGATGCCCCTGAAAGACGAGCTAGAATAAGGCTGCTCAGGGTCCTGGCCGACAGGCTGCAGAGGAAGCATGTGGCGGTGACCACTGACTATGAATTGGGGGAATCTACGGATTTCACATGCCACTGTCCCATGTTGTCAGGAACACCAACTTTCATCTACACTCAGCATCAACATGGAATGACCAGAGGGCAATGACACCACCACAAGGGCACTCCTAAGAAGAAGGAACATGCTTGGGAAAAGCAAGCCAACAGTGTGCCTAGAGCTTAAGGCAAGGAAATACACTGTGAAATACAAAGGAAATATTAAGGCAGCCCTAGAATTTGGAAGCAGGGTGAGTTAAAATCATATTTTAAGGTGACAATGTTATAATGATCTTGGACGTGTGTCTCTTATGGCTCCAGCAAGAAATCAAAGTGAATCTGCATTTAAGGCCCAACAGGGATGAAATGACGGGAGTTAGTGTAATCTAACCCGCCCTACCGACCTTGTCTCAGGAGGATAAATATCAGCACAGCGTCTGGAAGAGATTAGAAAGAGCCAAGAAACCAGAGTTTCCTCAGCAACAACAAAAACTAAGATACCCTGACAAGGCAGCACTGAAATCTCGCAATTCTCTAAGTGAATGCACCTTTTTAATGAGCACTCCGCACCAGGCAGTGACAGCGTAACAGCACTGCCTGTGGAGAACATGGAGGCCACTGGCTTCTTTTCCTGCCTCCCCTGCATCCTTAAACTAATTTAACTCTCTGTGAAAAGGCTCTGATGGGATCTCGTGTTCTGGTCAATCTCTTGAAAATTTAGCCAAATGAGTTAATCCGTCTGGACCTGATCCATCCCAGGCACATGGATAACATCACGGTCTGTGAAGCTGTAGCCCAGCCCCTCGGAGCCAAACCCAGAGACTGCTGCCTGGCCTAGAGCCCGTGGCATCCTTCCTCGTGAGCCCGCTTTAAGCAGGGTACCTTTTATCACATGACCTAAAACAATCTTCTCATCATTTTCTCATCCTGGATGCACCTGTATGACTCATCTAAGAAAACCTATCCCCTCACCCTGTTTTGCTTATTTTTCTCATAACATCTATCACCATCTACCATTATCTTTTATGTATATTTGTCTGTCTCTCATCAGTATCCCCAGGAGAATGTAAGCTTCATGAGGGCAAGAAACGCGACTGTTTCCCTCCTCGCTATTTTCTCAGAATCTTGCTCCCAATCCATGGAAATGTTCAATCAACAATTTGAGTAAATAAATGAATAAATAATAACAGACCCTGCAAGAGGTCCAGCCAGTAACCTTCTTCACTGAACTTGTGAGTAAAAGCAGCTGGAGGTACAACAGGATCAGTGGGTGTGAACAGAAGCAAAAGGCTCACGTGCATGAGAGTGTGTGTGTGTGTGCGCGCGCGCACACCTCTGTGTGTCTGTGTATTTCACACGGTATGGCCCAGACGTGAAGGTCGTCCTTGTGAAAACTGAGAGGCTTCTCTCAGCTCCCCTGCCATAGCCAGAAATGGGGAAACAATGAAATGACAGCCTGTCATGTTTTATCAGAGTCTGAATTTCCGGTCTGACCAAACGCTGTAAGGCCAGTGGGTCTTTGCCCAAGGACGAGGGAAGTTCAAAGAGCTAATCCCTCTGTCTTACCTGTACCCCACTGAGTATTAATGGCTATGAAATACTCTGGCATTAAGGAGAAATCCCTTAAAAATTTAAAATTCCTGGGAACATTCTGGCAATGGATTCTGGTACAAAGAAAAGTAGGGCTTAGGCAACTGAGAACTGTGTGAACTGGACTCTCTTATGCACAAATATAAAACATTATTACTAACATGAATTTGATCACTGTATTTCCATATACTCATAGACAGGACAAAACATTAGTAAGGGCAGTGGACTGGAGCCTGGTTAAATTCCTCCCTGGGCCAAATTCCCTCATCTATAAAAGTAGCAGAATATCACCTGCCCTATCTAAGCCAGAGGGATGTTACAAGATTCAGATAAGAAAATGGATGGGAAAATACTCCATAAATTGTAAAGTGCTATAATTATGATGATTTTCATAAATAGTGTTAATTATAGCAACCAGTAACTATAAATTAATATGAATAATATACCTATTGTTAATTATTCTTCTTAAGGGAAGCATCGTTCATTAAGTGTTCCCCTGGGGGATCCATAAAGAGACAGGATTTAATCAGGTCTTCAACATCTGTACTTTAGCAGACAGCACAGCAACTGCCCAAGCCCTAAGTACTGGATACCACGGAGAGTCCAAAGTCACAGAATCACCCTGAGCCATGCAATGAAACAAGTAATTATAGCGTACGACCAGCCTGTGCACGTACCACTTCGTTCTCCCTTCCCTGTGAGTCAGGACTACTCTCCATTTCTAATTTCTCACGTTAGGTTGATGCAATTGAACAAGTTCCAGCTTAAGGTTGTGAGATTTTGCACCCAAGATCGCCCCTTGCTGCCCTACCTGGCCTTCTAATAATGGCTTTGTTTCTACGTTTCCATCTCCTCTCCGGTTTAGGACAGACTTCCTTCTCACCACTGAGTCTCTATTTAATATCTCAGTTCAAATAACTAAAGTCCTGCCCGAGTCCTACCAGCCCTTCTCCTGGTACTTCATCTACCACCACAGCACCTTTAGATCCAGGAACTACTTTGCTCTTCTCAACGCTTTCCACTGTATACCAGAGGAGACAGTCCTCTAACCAGCAACAGAATCCTACACTTACAAAGTGTCTTCTCCTTAACTCCCTATCACTGAAGCCTTGCAGGTCACTTGATGGTAAAATGACCTGCCCAAGTCCAAGTAACAACAAGGGAAAGTGTCCTAACTCTTTGCCTAATCCTTTTTCTAAATACCACCCGATCACCCATAAAGCAGTCATTGTAATAATCTTTAGATTCTCACACTCTTCAACCATAACCAGAGAGATTCCATTGTCTGAGTCCAAGTTCTGCCAAAAACAAAGCCTAAGACAAAGACTTGTGTGCAGGCCACTGATTTGGGGAATGATTCCCCAGAAACAGTACTGAAGGACTGGACGAGTTAAACAGGGGACGAGGGAAAGTCAATTCAAAGGTGCTGAATTGAGCTGGTCACCAATATGGACAACCAGGGCTCCATTCTCCTGGGAGCCCTCTGAGGAGTCCCGTGAAATGTGCCTGAGATCTTCCCACCTAGGGAATGAGAGAACAGAGTATTTATTCTCTGGCTGTAGTTCTCCATTGGTTTAGAATCACCTACAGGGTCACAGACGCCCTCATACTTGCCCCAGGAAGCACAGTGCTAGCAGAAAAGTCCCAGGATGGAAAGTGAGAGAAGGGTTTTGCATCTGAGACAAGGTGCTGCCAGGTCCTCCCTCTCAGGGGTGGTTACTGTAGCAATGACCCGTGTCTCAAGGTGGGACGAGAGGATGACAGGTAGAGTACAGAGGGTGTCCAGGGACTGTGTACTTTTGCTAACAGCTATGAAGCTCGTGTGAATGAGCCATTCATTACATATTATTTTCTACAAGACAATTTCATTCATTCAATAAATATGTATATAATAAAAGCTCACCAAATCACAATTGAGGCTTATTATAATTTGGAAAATCATGATTCTCAGTGCCACTAGTAGAATTAAGGGATGATGTCTCCCCCACTGTAAATATGTAGGAATACCCTTAAAACAGAGCCCAGAATCAAAATGGACAGCATGCGATGCCGTATGCGTCACACTGCTAATCCACTCACTGCCAGGAGTACCAGTGCTGAGTCATGAAACAGCATTCATTTATATTGATGCATTTATTCACTCTTCACATCCAAACATAACAAATACAAATATATCTGCTTGTTTGTTATTGTAGTTTAACCACTTGCAAGAAGTTGCAGGAACTCCTCCTCTGTACACTTCAGCTGGCCTCTCCTAAGAACTCCTAATTTTTCAACACCATTATCACACCCAAGAAATTTACCATGGGTGCAGTTATCTAACATGCACGCATGCTCACGTCTCACCAGCAGTCCCAGGAATGTCCTTTCATCTATTGTTGGTAATTTCCATCCACAATCCAACCAAAGATCACAAATTGAGGTGACATGTCTTCTTAGTCTCTTATAATTTAGAACAGGCCCCAGCCTATTTCTTTCATGAAACTGACTTTTAAAAAGAATTCAGGCCAGGTGTCTTATAAAATGTGAACAATCTGGCTTTGTCTGATGGTTAGATTCAGATTACACCATCTTGGCAGGCAAAGTCGATGCGTGATGCCATTTCCTTCCCATTGTGTCACATCAGGAAGCTCATGATGCTGTCTGGCCATTTGGTGGTGACAACTTTGATGGCCTGGTTAAGGAGTGTTCGCCAGATTTCCCCATTGCACAAATGCCTCTTCTAAATCAATACATTATCGTGGGGTGACACTTTGAGGCTCTGCCAATATTCTCTGCTCATCATGAACACTTTTACCCAATGGTTTTATCATCCAGAGACA